TTGAGCAGGAGCTGCAGCGGCAGCCCCTGCCTCCGATCGGCATTGGCAAGAGCAGCCTCCTGGACTGCTCGCCTGGAGTCAGGAGGCACCCCGGTAGTACATAGGACTGTCCTAGGCACTTCACGGTTAGGTAGTTGTCAGTAGGCAGGGGTAGTCTTCAGGATTCGGCCGCAGCACTCAGGAGGAGCGCTGCAGTAGTCTTCAGCGCTAGGCAGTAGTATTAGCGCTAGCTGTAGTCTTCGGCGCTGGGCGCCCATAGCTAGAGTAGTCTTCAGCGCTGGGCGCTGGTAGGTGGTAGATCGTAGAGTTGGGAGAGACACTGGCGGAGGCCAGTGTTACTTACCTGTGGCGCCATCGCTCCAGCTCCATCTTCGTGGTACCTGCATCAAGGCGCCAACTTCACAGGTTAGTACTGGACACAGGGAGAGAGAGAGTTCTTCTTCTTCCTCTTCTAAGTCCACCATCTCTTCTCACCCTCTCGCCACCTGACTTCTCAGACTACAACAGAGAGAAAGAGTTGTGACTTGAGACTTGACGACATTGGATCCAGACTGGACATTGGGATTCAGACATTTCGACGAGGGACTATTTGGGACTGTACCGAGACTTGGTGTTGACGACATTCCCATCTTCCCTCCTCTTTCGTCTAACCCCTCCTTCTTCGTCTGTGTATGGTTGGGGYTGGCGCAGTCTTCTTGTGTGAAGCGCCAGACCCCCTTCACACCAGATAACGATGATGATGATGTGTGTTCAGGGCTGCAGTGCAATATGGATTGTTCGGATCATTCGTATCTAAGTCTTCCGTTGTGCTATCTTATACTTTGTATTGAAAGGTCGGTTCTTGTTCTGGTCTGCACGTTACAGTATGCAACACTAGGTCACAAAGTTGCGCCACCTGGCTCCGGCTCCGGCCAGCGTTGCTCCAGCATCGGTCTTCAAGGGCCACCAAATTTTCAGCCACCCTACACAGAATCAAGGGTGAATTGCCAGATAACACCTATTCCTACACTTCTCCTTGAGAGGCAAGCCAAATAAAGGAAATGGTAAACTAGATGTGCTAATATTCAGAGATCGCCCCTCCCTCCCCCTTCCCCTCCCCCCTCAGCCCTGTACTGCCTCCGCCGAGGTGAGTCTCCCACTCTCCCTCGGCCCCAATATAGGACCAATCCTCTACCCTACTGTCCCCAAGGAGCACGCAGTTCCCACCTAAGGCGTGCCCCCCCAACCCTTACCCATTTCTGCCTCCACTGGGACTGATGTTAACCTACACACCAGCCCCTTCCCCAGAACAGGACAACCCCCTACTCCGCCCCTACCTTCTTTGAGAAATTCACCCCCCACCTTGTGATGCCCCTGCAAGATAGAGCTCCCCCCGCCCCCCACCTTCTTGCCTGCAGATATGATCAGCAAACAGCCCGTAAGGGACGACCGTCTAATGATGACAAACTAATGTACGACATTTGTTACCTCGCGAACATTCCAGTACCTCTTCAATCCTAGACTGGCAAGCGAATCAGTGACCTTTTGAGCCACTTGGGGGTCATACTACCTGTGGTAGCCTAGTCGTACCAATTACACCAATGTTCTGGCATGTGTCCATCCATCGAAGTTCTGATCATAGTCGTGCTGCTGCACTAACCCCTTTAACCATCTAGCTGTTGATCCTTCTAGAAAGGAGGTGGTGACAACGACTTTCCTCCTCGGTCCTTGTGAGCTTGTGCCCCACATATGTAGGCACAATCCGCACCCAGGTATCAAGGTCCTCTTCCTTCTTGTCGCCAAAGAAGGGTTTAGGACTCAACAAGGGTATCTTAGGTGTCCACTGCATAGAGTGTACAACACCCTGTGCCTGCTGCATCGGTTGGGTAACCAATGGAACAGGACGCTGCGGCGGCATTTGCTGCTTCAGCTGCGCCTGTTGCAAAGGCTGCTGCACATGCGGCTGCCCTGTAGCAGCAGCCGCTGATTCGGTAACCGATGGAACCGATGGATTCGGAGTCTGCCCACTACTACCTTTTGCTAAACCGCCTGGTGGGGGCATGCCATACAAAGGGGTAAAGGCATCATCAAAGGACCTGCAACCGTAGGGGGAGCTACACTGGTTTAGGCATAGGCCTAGATGCTCATGATCTGGTTCTGGCCAGCTATTAGTGCAGCCAGCATTTCCTGCTGTACGGCTTGCACTTCTGGCACACTCAAGAGACTGCTCCGGAGTGACCTAACTGTGGGATCAAGTTTTGACTCATCAATAGCTTCCAGCCTACCTAGCTCCTCTCCCCTTGCCTCTAGTCTAGTTTTCCTCGTTCTAGCTCTTTCTCTCCTATCCTCTACTTCTTGCAACCGGCGTCTAACTCTGCGTGGAGAGCATCCATCTGTTGGATCTCGTAATCCTCATCTGAAATGGGTCGCTGTGGGATGACCTGCAAGCCAGCAGACTGACTAACAACATGCTGGTCATTCCTGGACTGAGATCTGACGAAGAGGCCTGGGATGAGCCTGTGACATCGTAGAGGTGGTAGCCACGGCTGCCTTGGGGTCGGCTCTAGCGTCTGCTGCTGTGGCCGCTGGTAGTGCCCTCTCAACGTTGGATGCTGCTTCCCTAGCCCTCTGCAATATCCTCCTCTCTTTGGCTTCTCTTCGCTGTCTCCTCTCCTCTCCTGGACCTAATTCCATAAATGTGATCGGCCGACTGAGTGCACGTCTACAAGTAAGTCTCCTATCGTCCTGGTCAAGTCCTTCAACATCACTGTCCACTCATGAGGTACACGTGGCATGCGATCTGCACTAATGTCAGCAAAGTCCGTAACAACTAACCGAATGTCCTCTTGCATGCCGCACACGCACACCAGCGCTAGCGCACGCTCAGCCTGGCTATCAAGGCCGGGCTATGGCACTGCCTCTTGCATGCCGCACAAGCACACCAGCGCTAGCGCACGCTCAAGCAGTGCTGCCACACTCTCACGCAAGTGCCCGAATGCCCTCACCTGCGCCAGGCACTTTCCTATATCGAAAGTGTGGGCGCACTGCCTGCCCTCTGCCGTCCGGACCGAGTTCCCAGTAGCTTCACTCTCGGCCAAAGTGTTTGCACCCAGGCCTGTTCAGACAGTGATCTGGGACCGAATTGGTTAGGCATGCCCAACCATCCAGACACAAATGTGCGGTGTACCCTGCTTTCACCACGTTGCTGGAAGAGCCTGGAAGGCTCACAAATATTTTCGATTCTCACGAGCAAGGCGGATGTAACCAACTGGCGCGTGGCAACTGTCTGTTCTCCAACAAGATTTGCAAAAATTGACGAATTCAGGGCTCATTGAGATTCAGGGGCCCGTCTTCACTTAGGGTGGGCACGCGTTTGCTGCAGGGACCTTATGCAGGTATGCTGAGGGGTGAAGTACTCGCACTATTTTTTTCTCGTATTTTAGTAAGAATTTGGGGTTTCTGCATAACATATTTCGTTTTCAGATTTTTTTGTTCTTGTTTTTTTCATACGTACAAACCGCATGAGGTTCTGTGCGTGAAACATCCGAGCACTATGTACGGAAAGGCCCCGTACGTGATTACGTGATGCCCGACAACATAGCTTATTCTTCTTCCCATTTCGTTCATTTGAGTTGCAATTGAACGGCATTGTGTCTCTGTGACTTTTGCATTGGGGGCTGACAGGATCATATGAATACAGAATCTTACTGATAGAAATACAAATATATACCTCCGTTTGGCGTTGTTTCAGAGCCAATAGTGGTTGATGATTTCTGATCTTGCACCTTTTCTCCAGTCCGTGCAGCTACAAGAAACTGAATGCCACAGTCTGCCAGTGCCCTCAATCCCCAGATCTGGCCCCAAGTTTGAACCCATTGGTTATCAGATTGCCAATATTTGATAAAGCTGGAAGACTGTGCCCTCTCAATCATTCCTACAATGTCACATCAGATGATTTGCGGATGTGACTTGCTCCTCCTCTCCCCACCACTCTCACGTCTTGACCCATATCAGGTTTCACTTCTGCGCATTTCTGATGACTCTGAGAGTCTGAATCCACACCACTGACTGAAACACTGAACTGGACTAACCTTTCACTCTCTGGATGAGGGTTTTCTTTTTTGTTTGCTGTTTTCCTTCTCAATAAAGTTTTGAAGGTGACCCACATGGTCAATAGGTGACCCACTGCTGTTTTCCTTCTCAATAAAGTTTTGAACAATGTTCACATGGTCAATAGGTGTTTCACATCTTTTTTGTTATGATGGGTGGAAAGTCAGAAACCAGGTCTAGCGTCCCTCACAAAAAGACCCACTCCACGCTTCCTTCCATTACGTCTGAAGGACCCTGAGACAGTGGCATTGATTGCTCCATTTCGTGGAAGGATTTACCACTGCTCTACCCCTTCAATAATGTCCTCCTTATTGGATCCTCTTAGCCCCTGGGCTGCCTGAAATTCTTTTGTATTTCTAGAGCCTTTTCTTTTGATTACCTCCAAATCTGTACCGCCGCCTCCACTCCTGTCTACCTGGCCCTAGGTTTTCACGTGCCTCCAACAACATGAAACTAACCTTCTTTCTAGCTGAAGCTGTAGTTTTACCTAGGATTGCTGATTCTGTCTGCTAAGTCCCTCTCAATCCTCTTGTAGTGTACTAATAGAAAACAGTTACCTCTAGGACTTCTACGAATTACTGGCTTCCTTGTATTTCTTGTAAGCCCTACTCCTTTCCATGAGCCTTATGTAAGCCCCTCCTGGTTCCTCTTTCCTTTCCTCATAATCAGCCGTTAGTTTCCTAACTCAAATTTTTCAGATCTCCTATAAATTTGCTGCCCGCTTCCTGTTTGGTGAGAGAGGTATATGTACTCTGAGTGTCTGACAAACAATCTTCTAAGAGCCATCTTTTTCCCATTTTATCCCTCCTTCATCCTCTGTACAATATGCCCATTGAAAATCAAGTAACAGACAATTCACCCTTAACAAAACAGTTGTTACACAGGAACCTATTAGGTGAACAGAAGCCCACCTTTTCGTAGAGATCCAATGCACCGGTGATGATTGATGTCTCATGCTGTGATAGCTCTCCTCCCTGCAACACCCACCCATCGGAGCTCTCATTAATTTCAAATTCAAATACTTGACGCTTCAAAAATGGCATTACCATTATGAATGCTCATTCACCTGAAGTGGATTTCTCGCCAAAGTAAAGCTGAACTTGATGACAAGGGGTGTGGTTGCCATGCCCACGTGATGTGAAGATGCTAAGGTAGTGAATTCTCTGGCTCCAGTTCGCTGAGGTTTCCAGCAGACAGACCGGGTGAGGAATGAACTGCCACTCACCGACTCTCCATGCATATTGACCAGCGCTTTCAGCTCCGCGCGCCTGAAGAGAGCCCTGTGATGCGTTCCAAGCACAGAGTCCAGGAGCTGAAAGGATGAATGCCACAAGTGTGCCACAGCCAAGCCCAAAACCAGCAAGCAGATCAGTTGACCGACAAGGACTCAGATTTGACAGTCCTTAGTAGAGGTGAGAGGACTGCGATTCACTGGAGGTAAACTTGTAAAGTCATAAAGGGTCATCAGGAAGAAGTTTTCTACCAGGCAGAAGTAAGGCAGAGGCATACAAGAAATGGCGGAGTCGGGGGGGATTGTAAAAAAACGATCAAAATCTTTCAGTTATGGCAAACAAGTAATAAAGAGTATCCAACAAAATCAACTGAGGGAAGAGGAGGCTTGCCGAGAACGACAGTATGTCAGGACTCAGGGGCTGCAAAATATGGTCCTTAGTCAGAATAATGCAAGGAACCTAACTGTTCACAGCTTGCTGGAGTGTATCTCATTGCATGCATAGAAGTCATCACACAGATAGAGAAACTTCACACGAAGCCAAATCGAGATGAGATGAGAACCAGATAGCGCAGCTCATATTATCAAAATCACATTATACAAAGAGTATCTCGAGTTCAAGAGTTCTGCGCCAACAGATTACAAGTCTCCCTCGTTCAATCTCCAATATAGGGCGTGGCTCAGCCAGCGTCTACCCTCAGATCATAAGTATGGCGCCAACAGGTAAGTATCCACCATATCCAACTTCACAATCTGTCTTCTCTTTCTCTCTTCTCTCTCAAGATCTCTGTCCTGGTTCCCTCGTCTCACCATTCATGCACACTCCCTACCTATGAGAATCTACTCTGAATGCTACCCACTGATGCCTACGACTAACCCCTCTACTTCTACTAATAGTGCTGGCGCAGCTATGGCTGCTTCTGCCAATCAGCGCACAGCCTCTTCTTCCCCTGCTTGCGCAGCTTCTAGTCAGCGCATTCTCCCTGCATGCTAGCGCACAAGTGCTTCAGCACTTCCACGCATCTATGCCAGTGGAGACCTGTCGGGAGGGGAGGCTGGCCTGGTCTCTTATAGTGCTGGCCTCCCTTCGCGAGGTCTGAATCAGCCTTCCTTGGGTCTTTTCCCAATCCCAGACCATTGCAGAATGTGTCCCAGTACCTTTCCCTTAGGGTCTGCTGCTGCTGCGGCCTTTAGGCCTGAATTTTGGACATTGGGTCTGAATCTGGACTGCCTATTGGACTTTGACTTGGACCGGAACTCTACCCCATTGACTTCCATTCGAACAGACACAACTTCCGCACGAACAGACACATCTATTGCAATAACAGACATGACTTGCACAGCCCCCTGGACAAACAGACGTGACTCTCACAATTGAATACTGCAACTGTTTGTCCTGGGGCACGACTATGACCTTTGACAACACTCCTCACTTTAATAAGGATGTGACTTTTGACCCAGAGAACATGTCTTTTGATCTGCTTTTCACGAATTGAGTTCTGGCTGAGTGCGCCCCATTATGCTGCGTTCGTCATCCAGGGTCTGAACGGGTAAAGGCCCTTTTACTCTCGCCGGCCTAGTTTCAAAGTCCTCTGAGAAAACCTTCATCTATCTATGATGTTTATTCCTCTTCTGGCTCTTTCATTAGCAGATACAATATGAGGTGCAGACTCGATTAATTCTTCTCTTGTGAACCAGCGATCTTCACTTGGGTCATGATATTGCAATCAGACTCGTTTTCAAACACACTTTTCACACATGTAAACAGTAACGCAGCACACTGGCGACATGCGCCCACTCAAAACTCAGAGATATGGTTTTCAGATACRAGTTCACTCCCAATTGGCTATGGCGACCTCAGCGCACAAACATCTCACTGTTCACATACACTGGATCACCCTGGATATCCCACACGCATCACTCACTCTAACACTTGAGCACACACACACACTCACTACTAACYATAGCTATGGCAGCTATGGCTGCCTCTAACCTATCGCTATGCTAACTCCTCCTCTCTTGCCCACTGCGTCCTCCGGGCTCATCTGCAGACCTCCTTGCACAAGTCGCTGTGGCAGCGCTTTCGCATGGCTCACGCAGGAATGAATGAATGGTTGGGCGCTGCCTCTTGATTTATACTTCAGAAATTCGTTGGTCTGCCCTTTGCCATCGGCCCTTGGTGCTCACAGTCCCCCTGTGGTACTTGCTGGACTGGACTGGGACTCTCTAGACCCTTCTGCTCAATGTAGGCAGTCGTACCGTCGACTCAGTGAAGTTGCACTGAGGTCCTACCTGTTGACCTTGCCACTTGTCTTCGTCTGAAAACGTGGGCCTACCTTAGACTCACCACTTGACCACTTGCCGACCTTCTAGAAGGACTAAAGCTAGGCCTCTGAACTCTACTTGGACTCCTACCTTACAGGTCTACAGTTCGAATCTCCCTACAGCCTACAACCTACGGCGACCCACTTACCACTGGCTATCGTGCAGGTCACGGGTTCAACTCCAGGGAA